ATCAAAATTCTGCACCAAATTTAGAATAAAAAATAAAATTTTTATTTTTTATTTTTTATTTTTATTTTTTAATTGGTTTTGGCCCGGCCGCGCAAGTGACCCYAGGCCACTCTCGTAGCCTTAATATACACACAACATCTTGGATTTATTTATTCTTTTGCAAGATTTGGAGTACTTTTATTGGATCGCAGTGGAAGGGTTGGTACTCTAAGGGATTTTGGAGTATTTTATATGTGATTTCTCGGAGTCTGTATTCGTTGAATCCATTGCTTCTCAGCGTCTTGATGGTTTGGTTGATTTCGTAGGTGGCRTGTTCATATTCAGATTCGATTGTCATTATGGTTATTATTTGAGGGATTAGTAGGTTCAGGGATTGTTGCATAGACCTGTTAGAGTCAGCTTGGATGAATCGTGTGATAGGGAAGTTCAGTTCTCTTMTTTTATCATATTTCTTASTTTTATATTTCCCGGTTTGTATATMTGTGATTTGTATGGTAGTGTTCAGGAAGTTTGCTCTGGTCTTGATTGTGGTTTYGTTTATTATTGTTTTTTCTGATGTTTGTTCATTGAGTGTGATCAGGTTGAGTGGGTATAGGTAGTAGCGGCTTCGTGTGCTTGTAATGTTGGGGTTAATGAATTTTTTTATTCTTGGGTTATTTATTATATGGAAGTAATCGAAGTACCTAAAGACGTGYTGGAACAGGTGTACCTGATGTCTGTTGTTTTTTTTGTTGATTTTTCTCATAAATTTATATTTGTATTTAAAAAAGTAAATGTTGCACCATACTGGGGAGAAGCTTACGCCCATTGGTATGCGCAGTACTTGCTTCCATACTTCATTTTCAAGGGAAGTATAAACGATTTTCTGTTCGCCAATTATTTATTGCTTCTATAATTGGTTGATTGAGGGTTAGGTATCCATTGGGGGGGGTTGTATACCATTCGCAGACCGGGGTAGGGTGTTCTTTGCTTTGGTATAATCTGCATGCTAATTTAACGTTATTTCCTTGAGTTTTCTTTGYTTGTCGGAATGCCAGTTGTGTGAAAAAATGGATTGCAGCAGGTACTCCGTCTGGGCTATTATCTATGGGGATGGTTTCATAGCATCTTATTATGGYTGCGGAAAAGACAGAGTTTACTTTGGTTGGTAAGTTGTTGATGTAGTCTGAGGTCGCGTCGATAGGCCACCAGTAGGGTAGTTTGCATCCAGTATCTGCGAGTGTTTGCTTTGTGAGTTCCCCGCAGTAAATCTTGACCATTTGTATTARTGCTTTGAGCATGGCGACTGCCAGATCAGCAAGCGGTGATGATATCACATCTGCTGCATTTGTTAGCCATSTGTATGTGTTTTTGTGTTTTTTATAAATRGCGAATAGATAGGGTAAACTCTTTTTTYTAATGGGGATGTCCGAGAATCTAGAGATTAGTTGATTTTGTAGTTGTATGAGCAGTTCGTTTTTGGTGATTCGAACATATACAAAGTATTTGTTGGAGAGTCTCTAGAGGGTTAGGAGTCTGATGAGGTTCTTACAGATGACGACTGATGTGTTTAGGGCTTTGTCAGCTCCTGAGATGTAGAAGTGTTCGGTTAGGTAGTTGATCTCATGTTTTATTGCATGATCCAACAATTTAACCCGTTTGTGGGGTTGTATGTTTTCAGTGTTTTGTGTGATGAGTCAGTAAAATTCTTCTTTAGCTGCTTTTTCGTTTTCACTGTTAAATCGTGTTAGGAATTTTATTACAGCTGCAGTGAAGTGTTCTCAWACTGTAYTTACGACCATGAGAATATCRTGTCGTTTAGGGGTAGTGGGGGGTATATGGTTTAGTCCTTTATGGACGATTTTTCTAAGTTCCGGGTTACCGATGATTTCTAGATCYAGTGTGGTGACGTGGGKTTTCTTTTGTGGGGTTATGACTTCGGGTGCAAGTACGTTGGTGAATCWGGAAACTTGGGTTGTTGACAGTAGCATGTCTCAGGTATTTGCTATATCCATTGTCGAAGTTCGAAGTCTTAGAAGACAACACCAGGTTTGTRTAAGGCCTTGGCAATGTGGTTATCGTAGGTCCWGAAAAAAGTGAGTCTTTCCAGATTTACTAACGCTTGTGGATTGTGTTTGATGAGTATATTTTGAAAAATGTTTTTGAATTTAATTCGGTCCATTATACGGTCTGCATAATGGMAAAAGATGAAGTTTCTTTTTTGGAGCACCAACCGAGTCTTCTATCTTCCATGGTATGAAGTCGGTGTTCCTGCACAAATCAGACATGCAAAGAGGTTTGTCATTATTGATTCGAGTAGTGTGTGTATATTTGTTYATTCATAGGACGATAGGTTTGTGTTTCCAATGGTACTTAACGGTGGGTGTGAGATATTCCGGGGTCATAGGGTGCAAGTTTGGGTAGAGGGAGTGGGGGAGAGAGAGCAGCAGGGGGCCTTATTAGCAGGGGATTGATGGGTTGAGACTTGTTTGGGGTTTTAGACAAGTGTAGTTGTTGCGTTCTTACAGGAGAGGGGGTGTGGGGTTGGTGGGTGGGAAAGTGAGGAGGTTTTGTATTTGTTTAGGTGTATGCAAGTTCCTTTATAGTTGTGCTACACTTCAACGAGGGGCGTATTTCAGTATTTGGTTGTATTCGTAAGAGTGAAGAGGTGTTGATTAGGAGGGTTTATGTCTAAGGTCATGTATTTTGGTACAAAGGGGAGGTAGTGCGGGAGGGAGAGTGGGGAGGAGGGGGGAAGAAGATTGGAATCAAGACAGAGAGGGGGGGGAGAGAGAGAGGGCGATGGAGGGGGAGGGAGGGAAAAATTGGGGTGGAGTGAAAGTCAAATCAAGTAGGCACACGAGAGAGCGAGAGAGAGCGGGGGATAGGGAAGTTTGCACATGTCATGCAAGGAACCTTAAAGGTTCAGACTTTGGTTGTCTTAACAAGCAGCTGTTCTACTTTAAAAAAAAAAAGTATATAATTGTTTTTAATTCCAATTTGTTTTTTTTTAGGGAATAAAAACACAACTATTCTATTGGCCGGAAGTTTGCACTAGTCTTTAACTAATATTGAGTATCTCTTGTAGCAATATCCCTCATACTGTGGTCCGCAWACTGTGGTACAAAAATGTTYTAGGTTATAGTATGAGCAGAGCTCCGAGCGTTCTTCTAAATTCTAGTAATACTAGCACTGGAGAACTGGTAGTYCGGACTCAGTCTCCTGCATACCCTCTTCCAGGACTCTTCGGAAGTTTGCGACTCCGTATCCAGAGTGGTCCGCTCGCTAATCGTTCTAGGAAGGGATGAATCGGCACTACTAGCCCCGTAGTTCTATCGCAAAGCRTCTATGGCTGACACTGGTCGTAGTGGTGTGCCCGGCGAGGGAGAGCTAATGGTGATCGGGAGCAGTTGTGTTTCTCCTTCGATCTACTCATTGCTGCTGACCTGGATAATCTCTCTGCTGAAGTTTGCAGCGTGCAGCTCTGGAGGCTTGCTGTTGTCATCCGATCTGGTCCACTGTCCTATGATGTTCTCTGCGGGCAKGTTTTATCCTGCGATACGTGCGAAGTCGGTGGTGGCCTGTGTGACGCTGACCTGTATTGCTCGCGCCTGCACTGGTCGCAATTGTTTTGTGGCTTCCGTTTGTTGTAGTTGCTGTGTACGCAGTGCGTCATGCAAGTCCGTCTGCCGGTGRCCATACAGTGTCTGTTTTCGTTTTGGCTGTCTTTTATTTGGTCTGTTYTCCTGCATCGGTTGTAGCKTCTACGTCCTGTTTCCTCTTCTTGTTTTGGTCTTGCGAGTAGCGGGCAGGGGATTCGTGACAATGCTGAGAAGTAGTTCCCTTCTCGTGCAATCCTGGCTGCTTCGTTGTTAYTGTGTAATGTCGTGGTGACAGTGTTCATGATGTCGGTAGTTGTTGGAGTAGTATGYTCACCTATGTGCAGCATATGCGTGCTGACCACATCGGTTGTGTGTGGGGAAGGTGCAGTCATGTTGGCATTGTTGATAAGCGTGCAGACATTGCGAGTGTGCTAGGCGCAGCGTTTGTGGTTTCTCTTAGATTGTCTGCATTGGTGTKTGTCGTGCTTTGGTGAGTGTTCTATTGTGTTAAAGGTCTGTCGGTTGTGTACRGTATAACGTTTGYTGTGGTCAACGTGTTGTGTGCCCTTAGGACGGTGTTCGCARCTCTCTCAGTAGCTGTGTTGTGTGGTATGGCAGATGTCGTTGGCATGGTCTGTCGAGTTGCATTGGGCTGCAACAGTGGTGTAGTGTTCGTGTCCGCTGTAGTGGTGATCGGAGTCCGTTCAAGAGTGACAGCATTAAGCGTTGCATCGAAGGTGTGGGTATATTGAACATGGGAGGTGTGTGTTGTGCACTTGTAGTGGTGGGATTGTGTGTTGGAGTGCTCGCGTTTGATAACCAAATGCCCGCGGGGGATGTGCCCAATCTCATCTGGCGGCATCTTCTCAGCGAGTTATCTTAATCATCTGGTAGGGGGCGCCGCCTATTTGTCATATGTGTAACGATGCCTGTAGAGTTCGGTAGTAGTGCGGTGGTGAACTTGAGGTCCTTGAGAACGAAAGGTTCTTCCTTGAAGCTTTCGTAGCCGATGATCTCCTCTGTCGTAATCCTCTTGTTTCGGATGACGAGGTGTATGATCTTCAGCATGTACTCCCTCATAAAGATGAAGACGATCTGCGCAAGGATAACTTTCTTCCAGGTGGTGTGGAGTAAGACCTGAAACTCTAGCATCCCAATCCTCTCCGACGGTGCCAGCGGATCTAATTTGTCCAGGTTTCCGATCACGAACCAGAATAGGTGATCGAACCATGTGAAGTTTTTTTCACACCCTGGACAAGGACATTTGAGGAATGGTCTACCTGCGTTCCGTAGCTTTTTGAGTTCGACAAGGTCGCTTGGGAACTTTGGAATGCCTTTCTGATACAGGAGCGGTTTCCGTGGACATTTCCCTCTTTCTAGCTTGTCTAGTGGAGGGAAGTCTGCATCCAGTCCATTTCTGCCAGCAGGAAAGTAGTCTGTGCCATTTCTAGCAGCAGTGCGGCAGTTTTCAAAGTCATCTGCGCAGAGCCGTGCAAGAGCTGCATACGCGTGGACACTGATTGGCGTAGTGTAATTGAAGGTGTCCAACTTCCATACTTGATTATGGATGCGTTGGACAACTTTCTCCGTCCAGGTGCTAGAGGCGAGTGGTAAGAACGGGCGGTTCTTGAAAAAATTGTAGTTTGCGTCTCTGATTGCTGGCAAGATGTCAGTGTGCACGTTGGTCCTCCTGGCAACTTCCTTCTTCTTGAAATATTCTAGTTCGATCGGAGTAAGAGAAATTCTATTGATGTACTCTTCAGAGAATGTCTCATTACAATCCATGGTCCAGACCTGTCTAGAGGCGTCCAGATGTGTAGTATCATAGTCGTGCAGCTCTAGGATGATTTTCTCACTCTTGGCTACGATCAGGTCTATCTCCCTGTTCTCGATGGCCGATTTTCTGCATACTTCAGGAATGTTTGTGGCAAGCTCCTGAATCTTGTCATCAAGCTCCTGGGGTCTTAGTCTGCATGACGCAGACCAGGGACGCCCAATCGCTGAATGAGAGGTTTTCAACGAGGAATGGGGCATGCCCGTTCGTGGCTTGATGAACGCGTAGCAGTACATCAGCAGGAATTGCCAGCATGGCAATCTGACAGTGTGCGATGGGCGGCTTCAGCGCAGAGAAAGGCCTAATGCTTGAGGCCAGCTCTGGGTGCCATCCCATTCGGATGATGTCTTCATCCTGCAAAAACGTTTTAATGTCATTTCCGCTTATTAGTTGGTGATCAAGATCAAATCTAAGAAGACTATATTTTTAGTATAGCATTGGTGTTTTTCTCATGGGGGTTGGTTGAGATGGTTAGGGTGTGATGGGGATGGTATGACAGACGAGTCTTCACATGGGGTTCCCATTCTGCATATAAAATGTTTTTACTAAACTTCAGGTCTGATTATAGGGGGCGGGGGGTTGTCTCCTTCTACGGACTGCCGGTTTTGAGGGTTGCAGAAAATTCGTCAGAAAAGCAGCACGTAGTATTTCTTCAGCAGTCGATTTCAGTTGTTGTGAGTTGCAGGTTTTAGCATTGATTTCGCACGGGGTAGCGGTAGAATGTAGCAAAAGGCAAGTTTAAAGTCCCTCCTCCACTACCTCTGCCGGCGCAGCCATTCGCCTACGTCGAGATGAGGGCAGTCGAGTGAGTGGGTGACGCCCACGGACATTATTTCGTCGTCTTGTATTACCGCGCGTTCATTGAACGCGCGTTTCGCATTCAGTTTTTGAACGCAGTGAACGAGCGTTCACTAAATGCGGGTAAATGCATTTGACTCGTTTGCACAGGGTGTTTTTGGCGCATGGGTGTGGGTTAGGGGCCCACGTGTGTGTGTGTGTGTGTGTGTGTGTGTGTGTGTGTGTGTGTGTGTGTGTGTGTGTGTGTGTGTGTGTGTGTGTGTGTGTGTGTGTGTGTG